ACTTGCATGTTGCTGGACAGGCGCGTCCACACTGACAGCCTAGGAAAAAGGCCTGGTGATGTAGAAATCAATCACATCTCATTTTAAAGGTGATTTAACCATGGGGTGGTGTGGAGGGGATGCTCTAAAATTGATGTGGTAATGATTGTACAAGTCTCCTTGATGTGATTGAACGATTTAACTATTGAATTATAAATGTAAATTAGGTGCCAATAAAACTAGAAAAATCCACCAATGAGAACTCTACGGATCCAAGAGGTTGACCCATGGTCTACGGTCTAACACTAGTTAGTGGCCAGCTCCACAACTACTAAACAACCTTCTAACTTGAAACACAGTAAAGGGAACTTCAGGGGAACCACTCAAAGAACTCTCACGTAGGTCCTGTGCAGTTGAGTGAAAGGTTGGGAAAAGGGTTGCTGCCATCGAGATCTGCTTGCACTGGGTTGTCTGGGCCTGGGGACCCAGGTGGGTTACTCAGGAGAGGCCCAGCGTGGCAGTTATTTTGGAGTTCTCTAAGGGAGACCCAGAAAAGAACCCTCCGATCAGGTTGCATAGGCGCTAGGAAGGAATCATAAAAGCCTACTTTGAATTTCAATATACCAACTGTATTTAAAGCAGTTAGAAAGGGATCCCAAGACAGGAACCCTAAGAACAAGAGTGAAACACTGCCTGCTTCTGTGCCACTCACCATCTTTCTGTGGCAGCCACTGCGTCACTCCATTGTTGAGTCTGTGTTATGGATTGGATGATCTCCCTAAAATATGTTGACTTGGTTGAGGTATAATTCTCAGTGGTTTGGCAGTTATAGAATGATGCAATGTGACAAGTTATATGTTGATTCCCCAAGATGGAGAATGCCATCCGATGAGATCAACCAGGAAGAGGATAGGTGACAGGTGGGCTGCAGCACCTTAATCTCCTCACAGGCCTGATCCAAGGGCAGTTTCCAACAGCTTTTATTCTACAAGAAATAAAGAGAGGAAGAGAGGGGCTCCACCACCAAGAACCAGTAGAACTCAGCCTTTGGGCATAGGGTCCCTGTGCTGAGAATTGCTCTAGTCCTTGGTTAGATGGATGTCAAAACACGTGAAGAACTCCAAGGAAAGTCAGGCTCTCCCTCCATGGTCACCAGAGGCCTTTTCACTAGAGCTGGCACTGAATTCAAACTGGGTTTAATTAAAACGTGAGACAAAGGGAGCCCGGGGGGCACGGTGGGCTACTTATTGGACTGCTAACCCTGTTGTTAGTTTTTTGCAGCTGCTTCTTGGGGGGAGGATGCTTTTTTCTCCTGTGGTGCCTTCTTGCCTTGTTGGTCCTCCGGAGCAGTTCTACAGGCCCCGCATCAGAATGGGCTTGATGGCAAGTGTGCTTGGAAACGGTGAGCCACTGGCTGCAACAAGGGCTCCAACACGCGAACAACTGTGAGGATGGCACAGGACCGGGCAGTCTCATTGTCACACACACATAGGGTTACTAGTAGAACTGACTCCACTAGCCCAGAGGACAGTGAGAGAATATACTCTGTTCTGTAAAGCCATCTAATTGTACTAGGTCTAGATAACAAAGTGCTGGATGGAAGTACTAATGAAGACAGTCTCTAAAAAGAGTCTAAATGGTCTTTGTTGCTAGGTGCCGTCTAGTGGTTTTTTCAGTTTTGTATATTCTCAAATGGTTTTAAGCATTACTGATTCACGGGCTCAAATCAACTAAATCCTCATGATCACCTACCACGTATCTTCAATAACATATCCTATTTATCAACAAGATAGTGACCTTAAATTTTGTATTCCTTCAAAACATGCATCTCCAGTTCCAACTTTCTACCTGACTGAATTGCTACCCAATTTACTGAACTGACACCTCTTGATGAATCACATGTATCCGAACAAAGGCCCTCCTTGCTTCCAGGGAATCAGTCACTTCCTTGCTGTAGTTAAAAACTAGCCATTCAAGATTCTTCTATCACTCATCTAAATTGTTGTCAAGATATGCTAGATAAATAAATGTATTTCATTCTCCTACCATTACCACCCATCTGTCAGTCTTCATATTGCTGATACTGGAAGCAAAATACTCCTCCATACTCCAAAAAGCAACTCATAGTGACCTTGTAGAACACGGTAGAACTGTGGGTTCTGAGACACTCTTATCTGGAGTAGAAAGTTTCAGCTTTCTCCTGCACAACGGCTGGTAGTTTCAAACTGCTGACCTTGCAGTTTACAGCCCAATACTAAACTACACAAAGCCACTGGTATTTCAAATGCCAGGAGGGTCACTCATGGTGGGCAGGTTTTAAGTTTCCAAACTAAGACTATTTAGACCGACCAAATCTACTTCTGAAAATAAGCTAATTAAAACCCTACAGACTACATTATTTCACATATGGTGGAATGAAATGCCCAGCTTATCTGTCCATAGTAGTTAGGTGGCTCTCAAAACCTGCAGAAGGCAATTTGTATTTCATCTGATTTACTCTTAAGATTCTTCTAATCTGGTGTTTCTGATGCCTACTAGCTACAGCAGTGTGCACTTCAGCATACAATCAGGACAGTGATGCAGGGCCAGGTTGCATTTTACATATACATGGGGATTCGGAGTTTAACAAAATCCTGATAACCACCCTGGGAAGCAAAAACCAAACTTTACTGTGGTCAATTCTGACTCACAGCAACTCCATAAGACACAGTACTGTACACGTATATTTCAAGGCTGTAAATCCTTATGGGTGCAGAAAGCCCAATCTCTCTCCTGCTGAGTGGCTAGTGGGTTTCCATTGCTCTGGTGGCAGTGGTTACTAACTTCAAGGCCACCTGTTTAAAATCACCAGCCACTCTGCAGGAGACAAGGCTTGTAGTCTCCAAAACCCACACAGGCAAATGTCCCACAATAACCATGAGTCAGTATCAACATGATAGTTTGTGGTCAGCAGCCCATGTAGATTCAAGTTTAATGTTCTTTGTTGACAGTCCCTCCCCCACAGTGCCAGAGTGTAACACATTCCACAAGTTATTTTCCAAAGTAGATCATCTGAGTATCCTTGAACTGTTAGTCTATCAGCAATTAGCACCAACTAGGGACTATCGTAGTGGTTGAGCTAATTGCAAGGTCAGCAGTTTGAAACCCCCTAGGAGAAAGAAGAGGCTTTCACTTCCTCAGTCAGTATTGACTTGGTGACACTGAGGGGTTCAAATGGATCTCCCCTTCTTGATTGTCCCAGCTGGTGAATTTGCACCAGTTATCATGCAGTCCAATGCTCACTGGACAGCACTGGCGCTCCTTCTGTCCTCCTGTTGCCAACTTGAAATTAAGCTCACTGCCATGGAGTCAACTTGACTCTTAGTGACCCTACAGCTTAACTGTTTAATGAGATTATTCTCTTAAAAGATACTCAGTTTATAACCATTAGGTCTTAACTTGAAAGACACTGAATCACATCTCCATCCGGTTGTGCCAATTTGGGTCACTCAAGAATGAACACCAGATTAGATGGATCTTAGAGTACAGCAGATGAAATATAAATTGCCATTTGGATGGCAACTCCATTAGGTTTAATTCAGACCCTATAAGGCAGCGGTTCTCAACCTGTGGGTCACGACCCCCTTGGGGGTGTGTCAAATGACCCTTCCACAGGGGTCACCAGATTCATAATAGTAGCAAAATTAGCTATGAAGTAGAAACAAAAATAATTTTATGGTGGGGGAGGGGAGTCACCCCAACATGAGGAACTGTATTAAAGGGTCCCGGCATTAGGAAGGCTGAGAACCACTACTGTAAGGTCTAAACTTCTAACTGGCCCTCTGGGTTTTCAAAGCTATTAAGCTTTAGCGCAGAAAGCATCATCCTTTCCATATATCAGCTGGATTTTTGAACTGCTGACCTTGTAATTAGAATGATTAACCACTGACAAATTCAAACTTGAGCCTAAATTTAACTTCATGTATTGCCACTGTAAAATCACCCTAATGATCTTTGCTTGTCTGGGCCTCTTAAGCCCACGGGCAACTATCAGCCCTCCAATTTCCAAGTAAACATAAGGCACAACATATTAATATCACACTACCCAAAGCAAACCGAATTTGAACTGAGGCAACTTGGATCCTCGATCTATGCCCTTAATCATGCATCTCTATAAAGTAGAAACACCTCCCGAGGAAGTCCAAACAAAACACGCAAGATTACCCAGGGGCTCTATACAAAAATTAAGGATTGTGCTGTTGATGGAAACGATAAGCAAAAATATCTTGGGCTAGCCTTTTCAACTCAAATAGGTGGTAGAAAGGAGAAGCGTAGTGGATTAAATTTGGGCTGCTTCCTGGAAGGATTTCAATACCAGCCTTCTTGGGGCTTTCTACTTCCATTAAGTGCCTCAAACTCACAGGGGCAGTTCTACTGTCTTACAGGGCCAGAGTTAGCAAGTGAGTTACATCATCTCTGGGAGTATAGCAGGTAAGCCTTTGGCTGGCTAACCAAAGTGTAGCAGGCCCAAATACACTTCAATCTGCTTCTGGATATTTCGATCCTTGAAACAGCTCTTCTGTTGGAAGTATTTTGTTGGTCTTGTAGGATAAACAGGGCTGGCAATTCAAGCCTGCCCCAAGAGATGAAGCAGCCTGCTGCTATAGCTCCAGAGGCCCAGTTTGAGTTTAAACCATAAAAAACCACTTTATTCCTTCTTGACCCATCAACACAACACTCCAATTAAGTTGGTCTTGTTTCAATAAAAACAGAGGAAAATAAACCACCAAAACTGAGAAAAGCAGGACAGAAAATATCAGAGTTCTTGGTTTAGAATGTAAACAAGACCATGTTTAGCTTGCTATTTGGGTAATTTAACACACATTATTTTTGTTCAAGTTCTACCTTTACCCTCTTCCTGTGCTGCCTTCTAGAAAGTCTTCCCTTAAGGACGGTTACAACCCAGCACATTTAAGTGGTCTCATTTACCAAACCAATTCGAATCCACGCATATCACAGCTTACTTGATTGCAAACACCAGATACATTTTTAATACGAGAACATTTATTGCACTACTAAATGCTGAAATCCTCAAGATGAACTTGACGCTGCAACAGCTGCCCTCTTCGGTTTAGGAGTTGTTCCTTCACGGAATCCATGCCTGCACCAGGGTAAAAAAAAAGAAAAATCACCTCAGCAAAGTTAACATACTTATTAAAAAGATTGCTGTTAAATAGAATCCAATAAGCTCATCTCAGTTTGATGCTGAAATCATTATTGTACTCATATGTTCAGACATTTATTTTTACAACATCACCGATAAGCTTCAAGTATAATTTTATTTCCTCTGTTCAACCATACCCATATTTCAGTAATATAGCCAACAGCAATTCTAATAAAAGCCCAATACTTATGTGTGCTTGCACAGATCACTGGGAATTTCTCCTCTGCTTGTCAAGAGATTTCAAAATAGTAATGGAAGAGCCTGATTTGAGTTATAGAATTTTTTGAATCTCTAACATTGGTGCTGCTTTATTATTAAGCCAAGAGGGAGAAATGCTTACTTTCACTTATCCAAGTTAAGGTTGAACACATTCAATGGCAGGCATTAATTGGCTTTATTAAGAGCTCTACACTTTAGCTATTCAACTTACATCTCCTTTCACAGATGAATAAATGAAGGCAGAGTTAAGTCTGGCTTCATCATCCTTTAAATCCCTAGATCAGGGGTCCTCAAACGTTCTAAACAGGGGGCCAGTTCACTGTCCCTCAGACCCATTGGAGGGGCGGACTATAGTTAAAAAAAAAAAAAAGATGAACAAATTCCTATGCACACTGCACATATCTTATTTTGAAGTAAAAAACCAAATGGGTCAAAAGCACCCAGCGGGCCATATGTGGCCCACGGGCTGGTCGTAGTTTGAGGACATCTGCCTTATTCAAGCAACCAACCCCAAACCAAATTTTCACTATTACACAATGACTTTAAGTACACAAAGAAAGGGCACCACTTTAGTGCATGATCCAAAATATATCCAGTGCCTACACACTACCTTGTCATCTGGATAGTAAGAAACTCTGGCATCTAGTGGGCAGGTCAGAAATTTTGCTCAACGTCCCATCACACACAAGGCACCCCCAAATAAGTTATCTGGCCAAAAAACTAAGATAGAGATGGTTGTGAATCTTTAAAATAGAGCATAGAATTTGTCTGCATCACCTTCACTCTCAGCGTGAAAAGATGCATTAACTAGTTAGCAATGTGCCTCAAACTTACAAAAGTAAACCTCCAACTGTACTCGTTTTATTCCTGTTTCACAGGAAAACAAAATTTAACCAAGTAATCCTTACTGTCGATCTCACCTGGATAAGGATACTTATTTGGCAGGAACCAAGAGATGCAGCTATTATTACTACTTCCCAAATCCCACCCTCAGGAAACCACCAGTGTCATGGCCTCCTTTCTTTCTATCCAAGTAAACTGATGTCACAGAACAACTTACACGCAAAACAGAACTGTACCTGAATCTGCGGTATACAATTTTTAGGTGTCTCATTCGACCAGTACCGGTGGTATTTCGTCTTTTAGCCTTGGCACTCCAGTTATCTGAAACACAAACAGGAGTTGCTTGGTCAACATAACGTGAAGCACAAGTTTTGCTGGATAAATAAAGTCGGAAGGCATGCTGCATTGAGGCACACCGCACAGAGCATTCAACTCACACTTTCTCTTGCGCTTGGCTGGGTAGCCACACTTGCCACAGGTCGACTTCTGGAGGTGGTAGGCCTTGGAGCCACAGCGGCGGCACAAGGTGTGCGTCTTATTGCGACGCTTTCCGAAGGATGACGTTCCCTTCGTCTACAAATTAGGGAAGCAAATGAAAATGCGCCAAGGCTTTCCACACCAACTGACGTCTTCAAAATAAGCAATAACTGCTAAGTGTTAGGGACAAGAATCGTTTTCCTAACTGTCTGGCTATCCAAAGCGAGAGTAGCTCTTTTGAAACGGTTAAAAGTAAAGGGGGTAGTAGGGTGGGTTCATAAGGCGAAGTGAAATTTACTTTAGTACTGATTCCGAAGCTCACGGATTCCTGTCAGGCACCTCCGACAACGAAGTCCTTTACTCGCACAACCAAAACAACTCAAGCCACGCTTCTTTTCTGAGGATTACCCAGTGGGCGAACGGGGAGATGGGCAGCTCCGGCTCCAGGTTGGCGGGCTCGGGAACCCAAGCTCCAGCTAGGGAGTAAATCTATTGACTTAGGGATCCCTGCATACCTCCTTCTTTCCCAACCCATTTCTCTTATCCGGGAGCCTTCCAGAACTTTACACATAGTAAGCTAGGGGCCACAGGGAATGAGGATGCAAGACGATTCCACTGGCCCAGGCAAACAACTCACCATCTCGCTTCTGCGGCCGAGACCAAAGAGGCCGGAAGAGAAGGCACTTCCGCTCTTTTACTCTAAGAAACTTCCGCCGAGGGACTACTTCCGGCGCGGCGCGGTGCACCGCTATAAAGAGTCCGTCGTCGCAACGTAGGTGGATGAAGAGGCGGATGCAGAGCCAGGAGAGCCCAATCGGGTTTCCGCGCTGGGTGGGCGGGGCGACGAGCTTGCTGTTGATTGGATGGCTTGTCCCACCAGACTCGCCTTAGCCTAGAGCCGCCTTCAGGCGGGTGTATCACTTTCGGCTCCCTTTCTGTGTACATACTCTTATTTTTTGGTGTCCGATCCGCAGTTACTTCTTGGAGTCCTCGTGGCGAACCTGGGCTGTGGGGTGGCCCACTCCGACCCATTGCGTCCATCTTGTATACAGTGATCCTGGTTGGGAAGGGGAATCTAAAGCAGGAGAAATCCGCTTCCCCAGTTCTCCCTCATTCCTGGCCTGGAAGCTAAGATCACAGACATGATGTCCTCCCTGGAGCTGGAACTTAAGTGTATAAGCAGCTAACCAGTTACTATATAGTAAGGATGCCGACGCTTGGCGACCTTTACTGAAAGGCAAATAGATATTCTTGACAGCTTTTAATAGTAGCTCTGGTGGGGCTGTGCTTAAGCCTTCGGGCTCCTAACCAAAAGATTGTGCTCCAGGAGAAAGATGTGACAGCGTGCTTCTGTAAAGATTCTCAGCCTTGGAAACCTATGGGGCAGTTCCACTTTGTCTTATAGAGGTGCTCTGAATCAGAAATGACTCCATGGCTGTCGGTTTCGTGGAGGGTGGGCTTGGGTGCAAAGGCTAAGTGGCAGTTAACTGGAATCTGGGTCCATAAAGTTTACAACCAACCTGTGGAGTTCTGTCTTGCTAGAAGGGGTCCCAAATGACTTGCCTTGCTAGCACCCAGGAGTGTGGTGGTGTGGCTGGGAAGCATTAATTAGACTGATAACCTCAAAAGGAAGCTGTTCAAACCTTCCTTGGGAGAAAGATGAGGTTATCTGCTCCCATAAAGATATTTTGCATGAGAAATCCTCCATAGGGTGACTGACTCCTTAGCAGTGAAAGAGGTAAACTGGTCCCAACCAATCGGCTTGCTTTCTCGAACAAAGTAGAAACCTTTGGGTCATTTGGGACATATTAGCAACAACCACCTAACCGCAAACAGTACAAGGTGAACATTAGGAATCAGGGGTTTGATTTTGCCGGGTTAATGTTAGGTCCATTGAGTTCTTCTGACCCATAGTGACCCTATGCACCACAAAACCAGACACTGCCCAGTCCTGGGCCATGCTCACAATTGTTCCTATCCTTGAGCCACTATGTCAATCCATCTGGTTGAGGGCCTTTCTCTTTTTCACCGTTCCTCTACTTTACCAAACATGATGTCCTTCTCCAGGGACTGGTCTTTTCCTCATATGTCCAAAGTATGTGAGATGAAGTCTTGCTAGGTTAATAGTTTAGACTAATAAATAATTAGGGAGCCTTGGTTGTGAAGTGGGTTATGCATAGGCTGCTAAGTGCAAGGTCAGCAGTTTGAAACCACCGGCTGCAATGAAGGAGAAAGATTGAGGCTTTATGGCTCATCTTTAGAACCTTTACTGTCTACTCCTTTAAAGAGTTACAGTCTCAGAAATTCACAGGGGTTAGTTCTATCCTGCCCTATAGGGTCACTAAGTTTAGAGGCATTTATAACATGAGGATGCTTCAAAAGGTTTATGGAAAAATCCCATGATCTTTTCAGTTATTCAAGTTATCTTCGTGACTGTTATGAAGCCGCTTTTGTACAGTGGCTGCAACACTGGATTTGAGCATACTAACGACCGTGAGGGTGCTGCGGGCAGGGTAATGTTGGCGATGCGTCGCCAGAAGCAAGAGCAATAGAGATGGATTCTCTATAAAACATCATATAATTTAGATTAGCCATTATCTGTTGTTGTTGCTGTTCAGCACAGAGAAAGGATAAGTATGGTGAGAGGATACACCTTGATGCACAGCTTTCCTGATTTTAAACCATGCAGTATTTCCTGTTCTGTTTGCGCAACTGCCTGTTGATCCATGTGCAAGTTGTGCATAAGCACAATATTGTGCAGTGGTGTAGTGGGTTATGCATTCAAATGCCAACCTGAACGTCAGTGATTTGAACCCAGCAGTTGCTTGATGAGAGAAGGATGAGATTTTCTATGCCTCTAAAGATTTTGAAAATTTTGGAAACCCAAACAGACCATTCTACTCTATCTCATACGGCTGGAATCCACTAGATGTTGATTTTAATTTATTTTAATTTATTTTAAATTTTAATTAGAGTGTCTTACTAATGAACTTCTGGGTTTTCTACCCCTGTAAGCAGTTACAGTCTCAGAAATCCATAAGGTGAATGAACTTCACTAAAAAAAATAACAAACTTGGTGACCTTTCCAACATAGGATGTATATTTGAAAACCATACTATAGACACATATTTTAAAATGCATACCTAAAATTAATTTTAATATATGATTTTTTTCCCATCTCAGGGGCCCCATAATTGGATGAGCCCTTATCTGTTGTTCTTGCTGTTAGGTGCCAACCAACCCTGTGTGCCATAGAAGAAACACTGCCAGGTCTGGCATTATCTGAAGCCACCGTGTCAATCTATATTGCTGAGGGCTTTCCCCTTTTGTGCGGCCCCTCTTTTTCCAAGCATGATGTCCCTCTTCAGGGACTGGTCTCTCCTGATAACATGTTCACAGTATATGAGATGAAGTCCTGCCATTTTTGACAAGTAGCATTCTGGACCTACTTCTGACAAGATATTTGTTTGTTCTTCTGGCAGGCCAGGGTACCTTTAATATTCTTTGCCAGCACCATAATTCAAATGCATAGATTCTTCTTTGGTTTCCTCGTTCAATGTGCAGCATTCACATGCACAGGAGGCAATTGAAAATATCAATGCTTGGGTCAGGTGGCAACCTAGTCCTCAAAATAACATCCTTGCTTTTCAACACTTTAAAGAGGACGTATCCAGCAAATTCACCCGGTGCAATACACTGTTTGATATCGTGACCGATGTTTCCATAAGCATTTATTGTAGCACCAAGCAAGATGAAGTCCTTGGCAACCTCAGCATAAATTCTTCTAGAATCGTGTGCTTTGGGGTATCATTTTTTCTGACATTCTTTAAAAAATATAACCCACATACAGAATTCATTATCAATCATAAGGTGGTATAAAGGTAATAAAAAAGCTCTGTTACAACATAATAGAAAACTTTATTAAACCCAAATAACAAAATGTGAGGCTATTTGTTTCTTCTTTTCTTCTTCAGTGGTTTAGGATTCATGTTCACTATTGTAAATTTTAGAAAACAGTTTAATGGCTAAAACTAACATATCATGCAATTCAATAATCCAATCACATTAAGAGTACTTGTATAATCATCACCATAATTAGCTTTAGATTCTTTTCTTCATTCCCATACTCATTAATGCCCCATTTCCCACAACCTCCCTACCACACCCGCAAGGAGCCATTATTCTAGTTACTGTCTATAGATTTACCTATCCTGGGTTTCATATACAGAAAAAAAACAACAACATAAAAAAACAAGAATAAAAAAGTAAAGCAGATAAAAACTTCAATTGAAGAGAAAACAGAAAATATTAAAACTAGAACAATTTTTTAATGGATCAAAAGAAAGAGCAAGCGATAAGGTGTTAAATGTTAATTTAACTTCATCTGCAATAGTTTACTTGTGCATTCTGCATGATAGTAAGGTTATTCACGTCCCTGGTCTTGTAGTCGGAGAGGATTCATCAGGGAACTTAACCCACTTGTATTTCCCCTTCACTTTCTTTTCCTTTAAAATGAAACAATTTTAAAATGGGTCAAAGGGGAGATCAAATTATAAGCTATTACATTGACCTAACTAAGTCTGCCACAATCGACTTGCCAATGCTTTTTGTCTGATAACAAGACTATTCACATTCTTCAACTATGACCAGAGGGGATTTTCCAGAGGCTTAATCCATGTGTAGACCCAACAAATGGATTTGGGCTTCCACTGCCATCCATAGACTTCTGCAAACCAAGTGTTCACCCTTTGCTACTACTTTGTTGACATACCCTTCATCTAGCTTTATATACATCTGACGGTGGTGTTTCCATTTCTCTAAGCCTTCCCCGAAGAACTCTGTATGTGTTGATTTATACCATGACAAAAGGTCAGTTTTGTAAACAAGTAGCCAGCTAAATGAGATGTTAAATAAGTCCACTTGGGAGAAGTAGACCAACATCAGGATTTGTAAATCATATAACCCAAAGCTGAAAGAGGGAAGCGTATCAGAGTCTAAATTGTGAGACTGGTTTCCAGAAGGCTCTGGGCGAGAGTAGGAGCCGAACATACATTTGTGAGATCCACACAGAAAATAAGCCTCTAGGGATTTCTCTCTTTCCATCAGAGAGCGATGGGAAGAAACTGGTTACCAAACAAAGTGCATTGCAGAGATGATTATAGGAGATCAAAATGATAAACCTGACTTGAATGGTTAAAACTTTGTCAGTTGAACCCCCCTCCAAAATGCACATTAGTCCTGACCTGGTTTTCAACAGTTTCTAAGTGTTTGTGTGTGTGTGTTCATATTGGAGTTGATCTCACGGTATGTTGTCATTGGGGGAAAACTTCTTGAATGTTTGTTATATTTTTTTTTCTCTTTTTCAGTACAGGAAACCCAGGATTGATGAATCTATAGAGACGGCAAGTAGAAGAAGGGTGTCTGGGGGTACAGTGGTGGGTTGTGGGGTAAAGGGGAGCTGATATCAAGGAGTTCAAGAAGGAGGAGAATGTCGTGAAACTGGTTGTGGTAGCAATTATACAAGACTATTTTATGTGATTGAACTGTGGAATGGTATGATATCTGTATTAGTTCCCAATAAAATTATTTTGGAAAAAAGTTTTATTTGGAATAGGTGCTTCTTGACTTGTGTTTTTAAATCCATAGGTCATCTCTATGTGTGCAGATTAGTATTTTTAACAAACATGAAACCCCACAACTTCCTTCATAATAATAAATCATATTGTGACTTGTAATTACATATAGATCTTCTTCTCCATCTTTTTAGTATTTCTTCACATTTGTGTTTCAAAATTTATTCCATAAATCATAATTAACAGAAATTTAAAGTATGTTCAATTTTCTACTATTATAAACAACTTTGTGAAACAGATTCTGTATACATATGGTTTGAGGTATTAGTCTGAATATTTCCTTAAGATAAAGTCCCAAGGTAGAACTGGTGGATTGAAGAACATGGATTTTTATTTTATCTATCAGTTTATTTGTTATTGCTGGATATTGCCAGATTGCCCTCCAAGAGAGTTCGTCGGTTTACATTCCTGCATTGTACAGAGCCCAGCGCAGGGAGCATTTATCCCATCCTGATGTTCAAGCTGGACTTAGTCCGTCCTGATATTCAAGCTGAACTTCCTGTAGGAGGTGATCCTGGGACTGAGTCAGGATGAAACCCAGAATAAAGAGAGTCCGTACATACTCTCCGGGGAGCAGGGACCCGAGAGGAGTCAGCAGAGATTCCTCCACTGAGCTGCTTCTGATCCGCCCTCGCCAACGCGGGCTATCGCTGACAGTTGATATCTTTGCCAGAAGGATTACCCCATGCTAAAAAAAGAAACAACAACAACAACAAAACTTTATCTGTTGCAATGACTTTGCAATTCACTTCCTGGTTCACAGACAACTGAAACAATGGCGGTTCCCTCAGAGATCATCGAAAAAGAAAGGAAAAAATTGCTTGAAATCCTCCAGCAGGATCCTGATTCTGTCTTGGACACCTTAACCTCTCGGAGGCTGCTGTCTGAGACCGAGTATGACATACTGGAGGGCCTCACAGACCCCCTGAAGAAGAGTCGAAAGCTGCTCATTTGGGTCCAGCAAAAGGGGGAGGTGAGCTGTCTGCACTTTCTCCAGTGTCTGGTTAGTACTTTCCCAGAGTCAGCTGCCAGTTTAAGGCATGGTAAGTTGAATTTTTTTTAAAATACACTTTTTAGGGCATGAGGAAACAGATTTTCTTGGGTGTGGGAGGAAGGGAGAAAGAAACTAATCAATTCTTTTTTTTTTTCTTTTTCTGGAAGATGGTCTTTAATAAAATATGATGATGAAGGAAAAGTATCTAAATTTCAAAAACCGGGGAACAGCCTATCTGATTGAGGGGACCGATAGCTTGTTTGTACTGCACCCCACACTTGCAGTTGATTTTAGTGCCAGTACGAACTACTCACTATTCTGGCAGCTACATCCTGAGGTAGGGCTGAATAGAGAATGCTGTTTGTTACTGAGGACGCAGTCCAAGTTTCTTTATGAAGTTAAGTGAACTCACGGACATTAACAGCTCTGAGACCATATGCTGCATTTGGAAAAATAGCCATTTTGAAAATATGGGAAATAATTTTAGCACACATACATAGTGGACCAGTAACTTCATTTCCTCAGTGACAAGAATGCTAGCAGAACTTCAGTTTTCCGGGGCAATTCAAATGCTGATTCTTAACTAGCCAAAGGAAAGAAACAGCTCTCCCGGAAAGGACTGTTGGCAGTTCTGTATCTTACCACTAGAGATTGACATTGCTCCGTTCCCAGGAAGCTGACAATGCTCGGGAGTATTTAAAGAGAACATGTTAGATAGGGTGTCCATAAAAAGGAGAATCTTAATGGATATTAATGTAGACAAGACTTACTTGTTTAGAAAAATAGATTTTTATTATTTTTAAGACCACCTATTCCAAATTAGAATTTTGTGCATCCTGATGAGAAAATGAGGCCAAAGTGCATTAGCAATGGCCACACTGCTAAGTTTGAATTGGTGTGGGTCACAGTAATCCCACAGGTAAAAACTGTTCATAGGGTTAAATTAAACGTTTCAGATTTTACTTATTCACCTTCTGTGGTTGTCGTGGAAGGCCTCATAGGAGGCCTGGTGGCATGCAGTGGTTACTCTTCTGCCTGCTAACCACAAAGAGAGCAGTTGAAGACCACTGGCTGCTCCACGAGACTTTCTACTCCGGTGAAGAGTTACAGTCTCAGAAATCCAGAGGTCCTTCTACCCTGTGCTTTCCATAGGGTCACTATCAGTCAGAATCAACTCGACAGCTGTGACTGGAGATGGAAGACCCAAAGTTGCCCTGGTGGCGTAGTGGGTTACGTGTTAGGCTGCTAACTGTAAGGTCGGTGGTTTGAAACCACCAACTTCTCATGGGAGAAATATGAAGCTTTCTACTCCCATAAAGATTTACAGTTTCAAAAATCCACGGGATAGCAGTTCTGTCATGTCCCCTTGGGTTGCTGTAAGTCGGAACCATCTGGACAGCAACGAGGTTTCTATGAAAGACCCAAACTAGTAAGCAAAGCAGGGTGTGATCTGATTCTGTTTAGTGGGTGAAGGAAAAGTCTGGCAGCGGATTTGGTGCTATGTGAGCTATGTGGGAGGTGATGGGGATGCCCATCCTCCAGTGAAGTGAAAAGGAGGGATGAGACTGGGAGCTGCAGCTGTTACATTTGCTTTGTTGTTTGGGAAAGTAAAATATGCTAAAACAATCTTGTCCTTTTCAGGTTTTTTACAATGTGAGACTGTAGAACTGCCTCAGTCTACGAGGATAAGCAAAAATTCAGAAGATGCTTTTTTCCATAGGGGTAAACAACCTGGGAATCCTCAGATCGCAGTGTCCTTCAAAGAGAAAGGACAATTGGATTTGGAAGCCTCTGAGTCTTTTGGGGACAAGAGCATTAGTGATGGAGAAATGGCTTTGCCCCCAAAGGAGAAAAATGAGAAGAAACGTGACATACCAAATGATTCATCCTCATATTTACGTGAAGATATTGAATATGAAATTCCATCAACTATTGCATACTTAAGGAATGAACAGAGATATGAGATACCAGATGATTCATTATACTTGGGACAAGAGGACTATCGAAGAACTTTTGGATGCCCTGAAGACGTGGATCCCATTGTCGAAGAGGAGAACGACGACGCCTCAGAGCACATGGGATCTGAAGGCGAAGAGAACTCTGAGTATTCCGCTCCCACAGACTTCTCTGATGATGAGCAGAGTCACGAGGAGGCAGAAGCTGCCATGTTATTGGAAGAAGAGCAGGAGAGAGGTATGGAATGATGCCAACATTCGATGTTTCTGTATATTCCACCTGAAGAAGTCCATAGGTGTAGTCCTGTTTGTGTTGTTGAAAAAGGGTTTTGCAATGAGCAAGTCATTGGTCTTGTAAAATTCTACCATGTGATCCCCAGCTTCATTTCTGTCTCCAAGACCATATTGTCCAATGACTGTTCCTTACTCTTTCCTTCATTAAGCCTTCAGGACCGGACAGTGTTTCCATGCTATGCATAAAGTTTTAAGTTTCCTATTTTCCTCCGTGGGCAGCTGAGTTCTTCTTCATAGCCTGTGCTTAGTCTGGAAGCCCCACTGAAATATGGTCATTTGGGTGACTCTGCTGGCATTTCAAATACCTGCATCACAGCAGTACAAAGCTGTGAGTAAGACAAACTCAGAGACACACGGTGGATAAAAAGATTAGCAAACAAACAAAAGGGAACAATCCAGCTTCATTTTCGTAATCATAATTCTAGATCAAACTTACTGCCGCAGGATGGATTCTGACTCATAGTGACCCTACAGGATAGAGTAGAACTGCCCCTGTGGGTTTCTGAGGCTGTAAATCTTTATGGGGGTGGAAAGCCTCATCTTTCTCCTGTGGCACAGTTGGTGAGTTTGAGCTACGGACCTTCTTTTTAGCAGCCCGACTTATAACCTATTACACCTCTAGAATGCCTTAGCGACCATCATTAGAACCAAAGCAGACTTACTGCCAGCAAGTCGTTCTAATGCATAGCGACTCTATAGGACAGAGTTGAATACCATGGGTGTTAGACAGGGTTCTCTAGAGAGATAAAACCAAATTCCTGATAATTTAATATATTTATTTATAAAGATAATTAGATATATAACAAGAAATGAACTGTTAAATCATATGCAGATAAATATACAAGAAATAAACAGTTAAATTAGATAGCACTACAAATGGCTTAGTGCAACTCATGTCTGTGAGAGAAAGTTGAGAGACTAGCAGTCCTTCTAGTCTCTGTCTGATGCCAGATCTTCCTCTATTTGTAGAGAGAGCTAGGCTATGTCAGCACAGCAGCCAATCACAAGGCAGGTCACTAACCGCCTGTCCCCAGCTCCAGAGAAGTCTTAAAGGGACCTCAACTTACAGCAATACAGTCCACAGGCTAGGCGTCCCACAGGCAGTGTAGCCTTTAAATTGAGGCACAGAACAAGCAAGGCAGCCACACACTGGTCCGATGATCACAGAGCGAGAGACAAGAAAGGCAAGGCTCACCAAGCCATTTATCTCTCTGCCCTTCAGTCAATCCCACCTGCGTTTATCAGCCAGGCTGGCACAATAAACTATCTCACCATGCAATGGTTAAAATTAAATATATAGGCTTAGAGAAATATTCTAGAAATACTGTATAATGAAAAAGAGGCATAAGAATCATTTAGTATGCCATTTGTTAAAGTAAAATAATATCCACTAGACAAAACCATATATTCTTATATATGCATGCAAACATGTGTACTTGAACAGAGAAAGGGTGAGAACGACTCATACCATGTTGACATATCTCCTAGAAGGAAAGTGATGGATTGGCAGGGAGCTGAAAGTTCTGGTACTTTCCCTTTATTTGCTTGTCTGATTTTTTTCTACAATGAAAGTGTCTCATTTTCTCATTTTAAATGTATTTGAGGAAAGCTTATACTCCAAGCATGGCATTCACTGTCTGTCTTTGCTCCAACAGAAAGAAAAAAGGTGTTTACAGACGTCCTGTCATGTCTGAACTTGGATAGGAGCAGAAAGCTTCTGCCAGAATTTGTTGAACAATTCTCTTTAGACCGCAGCTCTAAGTGGACACCCGAGACTCCAGGAGATCTGGCTTGGAATTTCCTGATGAAAGTTCAAGCACTCGATGTGACGGCCCGAGATGCCATTCTCGGGCACAGAGTTCTGAATGAGGGCAGCAAAGGACAGTTAGTGACTGAAATGGAGAATTTGGAACTTGGGGACATACAAACCATCAATCCCCTGGATGTTCTTTGTGCCACCATGTTGTGCTCAGAGAGCCCTTTGCAACTCGAAGTCATGGCAAACATGTGCCGGTGCCAGTTTGCCCTTCCCTTGCTGCTACCAGATGCAGAAAACAACAGAAGCATCCTGATGCTGGGGGCGATGAAGGACATTGTGATGAGACTTCCGGCTCCATCCTCAGGAGGCCTAGCTGAGGATACGGAAAGCGGTCTGACTTGCATCAAGATGCCTGTGGTCTCTTTCGTTCGCTTGCAAAGCTGCAGCTTCTCCAAGTCCAGGATCCTCAATGCCCTGCTCAGCCCTGCCCAGAGGAAACCACACCAAATTTTCCTTCATCGGGATTCACCCGGCCTGGTGCTTCCCCGGCAAATCTCTGATGGCTTGGTGGAGCTAACTTGGCCTTTTCCTGATGAAGATGGACTGAAGGGAAGCCATCGCTTCTTCCAAAAGCCTGTCGCCGTGGCCAACCTCCGTGGAGACCTGGAACGATGTTGGATTCAGTTTAGTTTTCTGATGGAAGTTTCCTCGGCGGTGTTTTTTTGCACTGACTACCTGGGTGAAAAGGAATGGAGCTTGCTAAGGTATTTAGGCAAAGCTGCCATGGAAAGGTGCTACTTTGTCCTCAGTTCCCAGGCCAGGGAGAGTGAAGAGGCTCTTGTTTTTCAGAGGATCTTGGAACTGAAGCCCTCACAGCTCCTGTTTTTGGAAGGGGAGGAAGCTGGAGATGGAGGGCAGGCCGTGAAGTGCCTTCACACTGCCCTGCAGGAAGTGATGGGCTCCCCGCTAAGGTGTGTGTCTGTGGAGGACATGGCCTTCTTGGCCAGGGAGCTGGGGATCCAGGTAGACAAAGACTGCCAGAACCCTCAAGGCCTTGACGTTCCCCCCAGTGAAAACAGGACTGGAACAGCTGAACCTGAAGGACAACAAGGACACGCTCCGCCCCAAATCCCACCTCAGGGGCCTACAAGACAGCCTGGGGTTCTATGTGGGCTCAGCCAGAATTCTCAGGATATCTACTCCACCCCAGTCTTCATGCCTCCTCCACACATTTCCTCGCCTTTCCCATCCAGAAGTGGAGGAGGTAACTTTAACCAGGCTTCCTTGAGACCCCCCTGGTTTATGGGCTCTCGCTTTTGGTCAGGGCAGAGATGTAAGTGGTTCCGTCCTACAGGCTTTCGTAATATACGGGCCCACAGGAGTTTCGGTGTTCAATGCTTCCAACCCCCGAGATTTTATTCCGGTGACAGATTCATGAATCGTTCCCCAACTGCTCAGGCATGTCATTGGAATGGAATGCCTGGGAGACCACCAAGACCTATTTTTCAGCACACACGAGCCCAGCCTGCAAGAACAGAAACAATGGGAGCTTTAGGAAAAGCCGGGGCAGTGGTCTCGCAGGTAGATCACTTCCATTGCTCAGGCTCACAGCCAGCGAGAGGGGTTGGAAGGCCAACCTGTGCTCAGGGAGCGCAGCTAGCTGCAGCGACTGGACAACACATGCAAACACTATCTTGTATCAAAGACCCTCATCAGCAAACCTCTCAAGCAGCAGGCACCGTACAAAAGCCCAGAAGACCAGCTTCTCAGCCAGGAGCCCAGCAGAAGACTCAGACTAGGCTTTCAAATCCAGCTGTGCAAACACAACCCCATCCCATGCTCAATAGCAAACCTTCACCCAGCTTCCAGCCCCAATCCCATCAGCCCAAGCACTCCCAGGCAAAACCCTCCCAAACTGTGTATTGTCAATCCCGACCCGCTCAACCCCAACCCTCTCAAACAAAATCCTCTATGTCCAAACCCAGTCAGCCCACGCGCCCCCAATCTAAGTCTTATCAGCCCAGGCCTTCGCAACCCAAGTCAGCCCAGACCAAGGCATGCTACTCAAGAGTGGGTTCCAGAAGGTAGGAAAGCTTGGAAGCACTTAAGACCTATGACATGTAGCTTTTATTCAGGCCGTTTCTATCATGTAGTGACCTAAAACGTTTCAGTACTGGTAAAAGACTACTGCCCTTAGCGTGACACAGACAAAATGGTATGCAAAGCTTGATTAGATGCCATTAACATATCTCTTCAGAGGTATATGAGAGGGGACAATGTGGAGAAATTAAGACTACAATACAGCAGTAAATAGAGTAGTTCAATTCAACTTCGAGTATCAGGTAGTGCGTAAGTCCAATTCGTTTTCCATCAAAAATAAATACAGTACATATTTTGTTTCATGACATTGATTGCACACAGTGTAATAGCACTCACTCCACTTCCTCCCTAGGTTTCCCATTTCCATGTGTCCTTTCCTATCCCTTCTTGCTTTGTGAACTTTGGGGACTGCTTCCCTTTTGATCTTGTATGGTTGATCGCTCTAGGAAGTATGTATCTCTCTGGTGTTAATGTTCACCTTTTTACTCACTCACTGCCACTGAGTCGATTCCGTCTCATAGAGACTCTGTATGACAGGATAGAACTGCTGCTGTGGGTTTCTGAGACTGTAACTGTTTACCGGAGTTCTTTTGTAGAACACGATGGGTTTGAACTACTGACTTTGCAGTTAGCAACCCAAACAGTAGGCCGCAATGCCCCTAAGGCATCCTGTGCACCTTAAAGGCCTGCCTTAGTTTGGTTGCAAGTTGAGCCATGGGGGTGAATTTCGTTTTAGATTTGAAAGATGGCAAAGGGCTCTAGTCTTGAGGGTCTGCCAGTCTCTGTCAGACCAGTAAGCTTCATCACCAGTGATTCAGTCCCTCAAGATATTTGGCTACGGTTAAGAAAATGTCATAACTTTGTTCTCTGTATATTCCATTGTATTTATGGATATATTAGCAGCAACTATAGATACATATGCAGAAATGCTTTCTGTCACACCTTATAGATTCATTACATATTCATGATTAGAGTCCTATTTTCCTTCCTACAACAGTTCAGCTGTGTATTTATCTTAGATTCTTGTTATTTCAGAATTGTGCACACAATAGTACTTGCCTCTGTTCTCTTTACTCTTCTGCTTGGAGGAGCATGGATTTACAGTCTTTCATTTTAGGGTGAGGAGTGTTTGAATGATGCAAATAGTTAAGTGCTTAACTACTAGGCTAAAGGCTGGTGGTTTGTATCCACTGGGTTGTGGCTTCTAAAACAAATTGGCCAAACTAATCAGAAAGACCAATGTCTTGGAAATCCTACGGACCAGTTCCACCCTGCATGTATGGGGTTATCATAAGTTGTAACTACCCACAATAGTAATAGCTACAGATGACCATAGAATAGGACTGAAAAGTTTTGGGTCAAACATCAGCCAGCTAAATAGGTAACCCTATTTATTTGGGGGCAATTAAATAAATTCTCTTGGGATATTTTTGTTGTTGTTGGGTACTGTGTTAGTTACATACTCTGTTGTCAATTTGAGACTTAAGAGTGAAGGGGTGGAGTTTAGTCTGTCAATCAGGTCGCAGCTTGATGACCTCATTTGGAGGTGCCAAGGAGATAAATAGCTTGCTGGAGGTGGGACACAGGCTCACTCCCTGTGAAACATTACTGACAATGAGCCTGATGGAGCTATGCTGTTGCTGGAGGAGCCACGTGGGGACCCATGCCAGTGCTGAGATGCTTCACCATCACTGGATCCACAAGATTTTCTACGCACTGGCCTGTGACCTTCCTGCATTCTGTGTCATTGCATGTGCTTCGTGAGTCTGAAGAGGAATTTATAAATTGGTATCAGACATATGGGCTAATATTGGACTTACGGACTGGGCTGGGATGTTTTCTCAATATTCAATTGCTCTTGTATATAAATCTCTTTCATATACACATATGGGTGTCTCTGGATTTGTTTCTGTAGTCTATCCAGACTAACACAGGTACCAGTGTGTAGGTTTTTACTCACAGCAACTCCATGTATGACAGAACAGCACAGTGCTCTGTCCTGTATCATCCTCAAAGCTAGTGGTGAAGATATTGAAGAATTCTACCAACTGCTTCAGCCTTAGATTGATCAAACATGCAATCATGATGCACTGAAAATCATTGGGATCAGAATGCAAAAGTTGGAAATGGAATCTCGGAACAGTAATCTCAATTTGCTTAGATAAAATTCTCTTACTTAAAAAATGAAATGAAAACTGTTGGGGGAGGTCAGACTGCTGTCTAGCCCCACCACAGGGGTGGGCCCCGCTCCCTGCTGTTAAAGACAATGGACAGGCCTGCAGTCATCTATTTGGTTCCTGTAGGTGGGGTTTACACCCTACTGATAATGGTTCCTATGGAGACCCAGAGAACAGGTCAAGTTAAGCTGCCATCCGAAATCTAGGATCTGCCCATCTTGCCGCATGTATACCCCAAATCCCTCCTCTTCCCATTGTGTGTATGTCCCTAGACCACCCCCTCTCACAGCTGTATAACCTGTAGTGCAACCCCTTTCTGTGACATATGTCTTTACCTGTAATTAGTGGGCTTGCACGCCCCCAAAAGGTATATAGGCTTGGGTTAGCAATAGAGATCTCTCTCCCTGGCTGCTTTCACTGGCCTCTCTTCCCCCTCTCCTCTCCCAACCTCACTCCTTTGTTTCCTTGCCCTCCTTCCCTTCCCCCTCTCTCCACATGGACCACCAAGCTGGGCTGAGGTGAGCAATGCTACCATGTAATGTATCTGACTGCATTATTTTACCTCTCATGCTCTCGATGATTTTAATATAATATATATCTCTCAACCATACAATTGTGCATACTGAACCCGTGGGTAATAGTGTTGGGGGGCTGGCTCTCCCACAAAATTAATACTACAGAACAATTCATTTTCATTCAAGCATTTGTGATACTTAAGTAGTTTGGTATAATAGTTGGGTTTTGTGTCAAGTTTGCTGGGTCCGTGTTCTCCCAGTGATTTGCCAGTCCATCTCCAGTAATCTCGGCAAAGTGATGCAACATCATGTAATCAACTCCATGATGGAACTGCGGTGAGAGTCAAGCAGTTGTGAAAGGATTAGGATGCAGGGCGACTCACTTACTCAGGTCACATCTCAATACAATTGGCTGGCAGGTTCCTCCAGAGTGTGGTCTATTTCATATATAAGCAGATGCTGTGGAAAAGCTTGTTTGATTTTGCTGGGTTCTGGATCCTGGGCTTGTTAACCTCTGGTTCTTTGGGCTTGAGTCAATGGCCTGTCATATGCCTCCCATCCGATCTATTGACCTTAGATTCATTCATCTCTCTAGTCACAAACTTGATTCATGTACTTCAGCAGCCTATGTTGTTCCTGCTGAACCTGAACTCATCAGCATTTGAAGTTAATGCGTCAGAAGTTCCCAACTTAATATCAGACCTACGAACTTGAAACCAGACTGGATTTATCTACTTCTACAACTGTGTCAGCCATTTTTCTTGTATATATACAAATTTATTTCCATATATACATACATAAGCATCACTGTTTTTGCTTCTCTAGAGAACTCAGCCTAACATATTTGCCTTATGTGTTGCTGTTGCTGTTAAGTGCCTTTGGATTGTGTGGTAGTTGGATGATTTTATGTCAAATAGACACTCTTGGCTAGGGGGAGAGCCAAACCTGTCAATCAGTTGTTAGCTTGATGACACCTCCTTGGGGATGTGGCTTTTTACATGAGAGTTAAGGACTCTGGGAACTGCCTCTCTCTCTGTTGTTCTGCCTTCCTGCCTCCTGGAACTCTTCCTGCCTCGAGGGATGGCCCTATGTGGACCCCTGGACACTGAGGGCTACTGGTGCCCTGCCATGTTTCCAGTGAAATTGGATCCATGTTACTCTATACCAGTGATTCTCAACCTTCCTGATGCCATGACCCTTTAATATAGTTCCTCATGTTGTGGTGACCCCACCATAAAATTATTTTCTTTCTTTCTTTTTTGAATACTTTCATTGGGGGCTCTTACATCTCTAATCATAATCCATGCATTCATCCAGTGTGTCAAACACATTTGCACATATGCTGCCATCATCATTTTCATGTTTTTAAAAAAATGCTTTGATTGAGGGCTCTTACATCTCTTATCACAATCCATACATTCCTCCATCATCATTTTCAAAGCATTCTCTCTCCACTTGGTCCCCTGATATCAGCACCTCATTTCTTTCCCCTCCCTCCTCCACCCTCACAAACTCTTGAAAAGTTATTATTTGATAAATTATTATTTCCATATCTTACATTATCCTCTGTCACCCCTCACCCACTTTTCCATTATTTGTCCCCCTGGGAGGGGGTTCTAGGTTGATCCTTGTGATCGATTCCTCCTTTCTCCCTCTACCCACCCCTAATCCTCCTGGTATCTCTACTTTCATTGTTGGCCCTGAGGGGTTGTGTTAGTCTGAGTAGACTAGAGAAACAAATCCATGGCCACACATATGTGTATATGGGAAAGGTTTATGTACAAGAGCAATTGAACATTGAGAAAACATCCCAGCCCAGTCCAGATCAAGTCCATAAGTCCAACATTAGCCCATATGTCTGACAGCAATCCATAAAGTCTTCGTCAGACTCAAGAAACACATGCAATGATGCCGAATGCAGGACAATCACAGGCCGGTGGGTAGAAAGTCTTTGGGTCCAATGGTGTTGTAAGCATCTCAACGCTGGCAGGGGTCTCTCTGTGCCTTCTCTGGCTTCAGAGGTCTGGTTACATCCATGTGGCTTGTCTTCTGCAATGTCTCCCAGGAAGTAGCAGAAAGAGAGAGAGGTATTTTCTGCCTCCAAGGAGGCAGTACCAGATTTCCCTGAATTCTCAGGAGAAGGACATGCCCACACAGAAGTCTCATTGGCTATCTCCAGATTGACAGCCTAGACTCCACCCCTACACTCTTAATCCTTTAATTGACACGAGATTAGGTAACTACCACAGGGGTTTATCAATCCTGATGCAACCCTGTATGCTGGAGCAGGCATGTGGAGACCCCTGCCAGTGCTGAGATGCTTACATGCTCACTGATGAAGCTTTCCTTCTGCAGTTGGCATTATTGCATGTATTTTGTGAGTGTGAGGAGGACTTTGTAGATTGATGTTGGACATATGAGCTAATATTGGATTTATGGGCTTGGACTGGACTGTATTTGGATGCTTACTGTACAATTACCCTTTATATAAAACTCTCTCTTATATACATAAGCTTTTCTGTGGATTTGTTTCTCTAGTCTACCCAGACTAATACAATGGGCTTCCGGCAAGTGCAAATGCGGTGTCAGGTAGATTTGCAAAGTATGATGACATTTCATCTGCAAGCATGTGCAAGTGTTCTTTCACAGAAATTTTCATCATATTCCTTTTGTCTGGTTCAATGTCATGTTCCTCAAAGAAAGCAGGTAAGGTAGGCAACATGTAAATTTTATTTTTATCCTATTTTTTTTTTGTTGGCCTAGCTGAAGTTTCATTTGGATGCTTGCAGACAAATCGAGGCATGTTGCATTTGGTCCTTGCAGTGATAAATTTAACTTACTTAAGATGGCAAAGATGGCAATCAA